TTCGGACTTAAAAAGGTTTTTTTTTCACTGTTGGTTCTTAGGCGAACATTGTATGAACGCAGAACAATATCATTTGGTCGGTTATTGCAAAATAACCTTGTATATTTTTATTCCACCGATATGTAGGTCCCCTCGCAATATTTTCCTTCACTACCGAGCACATGGTAAATTAGCATCTAATATTATTGCGATTAAAAAAATTTTAGTGCCGGCGTTGTATATAACTATACATATAAATACTGAGAAATTTATGGGGAAGCCTTTAGGTATTTTTATTGGTAGTCGTTTGCTGCTGCCATTTAAGGTTGATATTTGGCCAGCACGAAGTAACCGTGCGATATTCGGAGGACCAATATTAATTGAATTTAATTAGGTACTTGAAACATTTTTGCTTATTAAGAGTAAATAAAGGATCTATAAAAATCATTTAAATAGCCGATTAAGAATCTAATTCAATGACACACCTTTCTTTATATCGAAATGTTATTTATATCTTTAAAAAAAAATTAAGTTGAACGTCAGTTTTTTTTTCTTAATAAACTAATATTTTAAAAATCTATTCGATTAAGAATTTAATTGTTTGATGTATGCGTATATTTTCTGCCGACTTCCAAAAAGGAGACGGTACTCAATTCGACACGTATGTTTATTTTTAATGTGTGTTACCTCATAACTTTTTACTGGGTGGACCGATTTCGATAATTCTTTTTTTATATGAAAGCTGATACTTCTCGTGTGGTTCCATATGAATTTGATCAAGGTCAGACCAATAGTTTTTGAGTTATTCTTAATAACTTATATTGAAGTCGGCTGTACAAAATTTTTAATTTTAAATTATTCCCAAGTAGATACCATTTCAAGAAGTATTTTACCGAGTATGTACTATCTCTAGAAGTATCGTTACTCATTTTTGCCCAAACTGGTCTTAAACTGGCCAGGTTTGAGGGAAAACTGGAATCTTTGAAATATCAATTTAGGTTGAATAGTGATAGCACAGAACAATAATTGTATGAAGCACAATAATATACGAGTACATAAGATTTTATTAAAAAACAAAATCAGAAAAATTAAGCGAAGTGATTGCTGATAATATTTCAGTAGTTTCGATACTAGTACTATGATACAATCTGCTAGCAATCCTTCACATTATATAGATAACTAGAAAATATTTTTAGACTGTCTATAGATCGGGTATGAAAAATATTAAATTATGTGAATTAAATTTACTTGTACTAAGCGACGAGGCGAGCTCAAGATCCGAAGAAAATTAACTGACGCATATAGAAAGTAAGTAGAAAAGAGTTGATCGTCGGCTTTCCTAGCGAGTTACTTTGGCGTTTTATGCTTTATAATATAAAAAAGAAGTTTATTACATCCTTCACACTTTTAAAAATGTTAATCGATTTGTGTTAGATGAGAAAATGGCGAGTCGAGTAAAGCCTAATAAATAAATATGCGTAACACGTAATATTTACGTTTAGCTGTTTTACTTGCGTTCACTGCGTTTAGCTCATTCGGAATACAAAATAATTTTATAAACGGTAAAAATTTACATTTCATCAATGATGATTAAAACTTAGTATATAATAAACCTTTTTACGTGGTAGAGCAACGCTGCAACTATATTATGGTTGTAGAACAAAAAAACCAGACTATGCTCTCTCCATCCGTCTCTGATCAGAGACAGACCATGTTCTCACAAAATATCACCGTAAAATAGCAGCTCAATGCTGCTGTGTTTCGTCTGGTGAGTGAGTGTAGAGAACAGAACATCTAGCCTCGATTAGGAAACAAAATGCAACTGCTGACGTAGATGTCTATGAGCCCAGGCCCGGTATCCATTTACCATCGGATCGGATCTTCTAAGGTATTTTATAAAGGGAGTACTACCGATAAAATCCTGACATTGCCTGACGTGTTTGTTTTTTTACAAGTGTAGCAAAGCACGCAAAAAAATTTGCACTACTTACATTTAAAGATAAATAACGGTACATATTTGTATTTATTTTATATACTCAGTCACGCAACTATAACATCGTGATTGTACATTACCGACTGGTGGGCTTTATGGCGGGAGATACACATGCTACATGCATACAACAAAATTGCACAAGTTAAGAATTTCTGACATGCAATGTCGGACGGCAAGGGCCTGCATGTTTTTTAAGGTTTTTTTTTTTTATAGAAGTGGGGGCAAACGAGCATGCAGCTCACTTGATAGTGAGTTTCGACCGCCGGCCATAAACAACTGCAACACCAGGGGAATTGCAGGCTGTGACACAACGAACTTACAGTTTCCCATGGTCAGCCCATGGATACCGGCAGTCAACTTTACCAAAGAAGGGTACAGATGCGTTGGTCACCTTTGAGGACTCGTAATTATACTGGCTCTCTATACTCTCCAATTTCCATTCAAAGCAGAACACGGCAATGTAGGCGTTGTTATTTGGTGACAGAATTAGGTAATAATTTAATTCTATTGCAGTGATCTATTAAAGTTACAGCTGGGCAAAGGCCATCTCATTTCTGAAAGGGTCTCTGATGATCTATTAGTGATAAAATGACATGTTAGTTGGAAAACGTTTTATACGTGGTAGAGCCATGCTGCAGCTATATTAATAGTATAGTTGTAGCACGAATGGGTCGGCTCGACCGGGGTAGGACCACGCTCTCACAGAATACCAGCGTAAAATAGCAGCTTGATGCTGCTGTTTCGCATGGTGAGTGTAGAGAACCGGAGACCCATTTTACTGGAAAAGAGGCATTATATGTTAGTCCTCACGGCTGACAATGCATCTGCATTTTAATTCGCAAACGAAGATAGATGTAGATGTCTATGGGCCACAACAACCACTTATCATCAGGTGGACTGTGTGCTCGTTTGTCACCCCTATTTTATAAAAAAAAAAATATTACAATTTTAATTACTTATTAGTTAATCCTTATATATATATCATCCTATATTCCTATTTAATAGTGAAAAATTAGTAAAGCTTAAAAAAAAAAACAGAAAAATAATACAACCTTCACTTGCACATAATTGCAGAAGTTATTATAAGAGACAAGGATTCCTTATCATCTATCTCCTAACCAAATTCGAATATTTTTATTTAGCCTGTAAAATTCTACTGCTGGACATGGGCCTTGCCCCATTGTAGTTAGGATTTGCATTAACTGGCATGCTTGGCAGTCCGATTAATGATTGCAATGCCAAAGAGATTGGATCTGGTTATAACTTATACAGGACTACTGAGAAATTATACACTTTTACAAAACAACAAAAAGAAAAAGCACTCCCGAAATGATTTAGCCGCGTGCGCTGACGTAATGGTTAGTGATACGTAAATACAATATTCTATAATAATATAGATCTTTACTCCATCTAAAAAAAAGGCCGCGATACCGTATGCCTATTTTTTATACAAAGCCACAATAAGGTATTTTGTGATAAAAAATTATTGAAAATTAAAAAGTGATTTATGAGCGTTATTATTAGACATGACATATGTATCCTTACGAACGAAAGTTACTTCATCATCAAGACGATTTTATGAAGATAAACTTTGGTCCTTATAGCATGTTATTTGGACGCATAGTATAAGAGATAATGAAAAATTATAATTTAAAATTAAAAATTTTGTACAGCCGACTGCAACATAAGTTATTAAGAATAACTCAAAAACTTTTGGTCTGACCTTGATCAAATTCATATGGGACCACACGAGAAGTACCAGCTTTCAAATAAAAAAAGAATCATCGAAATCGGTGCACCCAGTAAAAAGTTATGAAGTAACACATAAAAAAGACATACAGTCGAATTGAGTACCGTCTCCTTTTTGGAAGTCGGCAGAAAATAATTCAACACGGCTCGGCGCGCGAACAACGTATAAGCGCCGCCGGAGGAGAACCGAGAGAAACCAGCAGCAGTTGACGCTTCTTTTATTTCAAACATTCTAGATGGCAATGTATGGAAAAATTGGCAAAATTTATGGAATGCTTTTATTTAAAATTAATGGAGTAGAAAAATAAATTATAACTCTTTTTAAACAACTTACTCCATTACTTTTGCCAATTTTTTAGCTAAAATACAAATATTTATATTTCGTTGAATTGCCGAATAAATTAAATTTTCAAAATAGCATAGCAATGTGAAATGAAAGAATTAAGAAATAATTTGGACCTCTTTTTAAAGAGCATATTCTATTATTTACTTTAGTCATACATATTTTGGCGGTAAAGTTGGAAATTTTTGATAAAACTAAACTTTAAGTCCCGTGTAGTGGCGGGTAAGAATACCCACTACCCCATATCTTCCTGCGGGTGTCGTAAGAGGCGACAGGGGGAAACTGAGGCAGAAGATGGCATCTTTCTGATAACAGCAAAACATCAATAAAAAACTGCGGTTGCCAACTCGCTCGCCAAGCGTGGCAACTATGGCAATATATCACCCATGATGAAAGTTACGAAGAACCATGTTTTGTGACATTCCTTGGGGGAGGGCTATGTTCAGCAGTGGAGTTGTGAAGGATTGTAATGATGATGATGAAACTTTAAGCAAAAACAAATCGATAAATGATTAAAAAAAATCATATTTCGCAGAAACTATAAGTGATATCGCTTTTGTATGTATAAGTGGTTAATAGAAAATTAATCAAGGATCATTTCGTACCTCCACACTTTTCATTTATCGTGTACAAATCTCTTTAAAACTGAAAAAACGCGTTTCGGAGCACTTTCTGGGGCGCGGGGGTTTACGCTCACCCCGGGGAAGGAGAGGGAGATGGATAAAATTTAACTTTGCTCTATAACGTACATAAAAGTACTCCATTAATTTTGCAAATTTTTTAGCTAGAATGATTGAATTATATGACTGAGGTGTCATGTCATATCGCGCGGCTCAGACGCGTGTTATAATTACAATCTAAACTAATAGCCACCACCCATTTGTAAAGATGTGCAACCACAGGATTTGTATAGTTTTATCCAAAAGAAATACTCACAATAATATGACTGCACGGAGAGATCAATGTCAGAGTCATCTGAAAGAATTATGTTGATAATGATATATGGCTCTATGTGCATACAGGCAAACTAAGAAGTGATTAGTAATAAGCAACATAATAATTATTTTTCCACTTGTAAGTCAGAAATGTACACTAAAAATTTCTAATGTTAGGATCTGTGTTTAGAATATATTATGACTGTAACACATTATTTTAAATATCTAATAAATCTATGAAGTGCTTATAAAATACAACAAGTGCTTTTACTCCATAATTAGTACAAAGAATAACTGTTTTATTTTTCTAAGGAATTAGCCACGCTGCGATTTGTTATCGTTGCAGCACAAATGAGTCAGTGGAAAGGGTTGTATATTTATTGCATATTGTCTGAACCTCAAACTGGGTTAGGCATTTGTTGCGAGTCATCACAAGACACTGCAGTGACCCCAAAGCCAAGCATGTCTGTTTATATCAATAAAATTTGACATTTACAATTTTATCTAAACTAATAAAATAACCAAAATATTTGCCATCAGTACCTAACGCAAGTCAAATTCAAAAGCACAATATCTTCACTATACATACTCCACAACTTTAGTGCAATATTGTGTGAGCACACATTAGACATTAATCGCATTACTTGGTGGAAATGGGTTGGCATTACAGCAGGTGGTGGAAAATTTGCTTTAGTAAAATTTTTGTGATTAGTGCAGACAATTCGTCGTTAACGCCGCAAAGAGGGCAAACCTCAATTTTTCAAAAAATTACAGTGGAGCACGAAAACATTTCTTATTCCCTTTTTTTCAAATTAATCTTATTTGTAGTTTTACATTAAATCTTATATATTTAATTTTTTGATAAAAAAAAAAGCTAGTAATCGGGAAATAATAAATGTTTTCTTGCTCTCCTGTAATTTTTTGATACATTAAGTTTCGCCCCTTTGCAGCTTTGTATCAAATATTAACATCAATATCTGTATCAACAACATCAATATCAACGCAAATGATTGCAATTATTTCTTTTTTACAAAATTGTAAAAAACAAATCATTGCAATCATCAATACTTATTAAACACGACTAGAGTCAAACAATCAAAAAGTTTATGATTGATATAGAACTACTAACAAGAACCCGAGAACTTTGTTACTTATACTTAATGAAGCATTCCATCTTGGACCTAAGGGGGGCAATGCTTACTTCTATAAAAATAAAACAATACAAAATTGTAATATGTCTGGAGTTATTTGAAATAAGTGATAGTAGATTCTAAAGACATATGTGTATCACAGAATTTTTTTATTTCTGTATCAAATTTCTTCTTGTTCGAACAAGGCATGAAGACTCAAAACAAAAAGAAAAGATTTTATCAATTTAGTACACAAAAAATAAAAAATTCTAATAAGATTTGCCTTTGTACTTAATATTTGTCCCTTTACTTCTTTTTACAATGTGTTATTATTAATATTAAAATTATATATATAACTATTAAAATAATTATTCTCAAATATTTACATCACACCAAAACAATGTAATGTGACATTTATCACTATTTTTATAATTCAGTTCTCAAAGGAAATAAGATAATATACTTACAACTATAAAAATAGCCCCATGTTGGTAGACCAACTGCAATCGCTCCAACAATAAAGCAAATAAAGCCGAGTATAACCACAGCTATTGAATACAAAATCTTGCCACTTGCCATGGCTGCATGACTTGGCTAAGCTTATGGAATGTTTTAGTCATCAGGAATGTATTGTAAATATCCTGTGACTTTTCAATATGGTTCCATTCATCTGAAACAAAATGAAAATCACTGTATCTACATGTTACTATTGATGAAACTATGCTTCAGCTAACATTTTAAACACAAAGTCTTTCACTTATTTTAATTATATAAATTATTCAACTTTACACAAAAAAGTCATCATATCTGTTTTCTCCAATAAGACTATTGCCCAACAAGTCAATTAAAGTCAATTAAGATCAACTAGACAGAATAGACTATCATAAAAATAAATAAAATTGCATAATTTATGGGGTCTACAACTGAAGGCACAATAATGTCATTGAACTAGCAACCAACGGGAGTTTCCCTAAATGTAGAACAACATAGACACAAAACTTGAAATCATTGTGATATTTCAAAAGATTGATTTTTTAAATGTATGATTTACAATACCTGAACTTTTCAAAAAAGTCATTTAATTTGTGTTAAATTATATGGTTAGTGACACTGCACAAAACATGGACATATATAATATCAGTCATTTTATTTAGTCTTGTCCGACTATTATGCACTATACTGTACTCATATTATTTTTCATCTTGTTAAGTACTTCAATGATGTAACATTGTATGTGATTTAAGAAAAAAGGAAATTTAAGAGCAATAATGTAATAAGTTACCCTTCAATTTTTTTTTCAATTTAACCTAAGTAATAAGAGCGCCATAATGGGAAGTCCATTAACTTTTGAATAAGAAATTACTAAAATCAGATTGATTAAATATTACATTGGAGTTAATCCCGAACTACAAGTTATGCATGTAAACAATGCATTCATTCTTGGAAACACTGAAGTTCAGGAGATTTACCAGGGTGTTTGTGTGTGTATTGTGTATGTGGTAATTTCGATAGTATAAATGCAAAGAAAGTTTCTATAATGATGAACTTTACTTTTATAAATTGCAAATTTAAAAAAAACTAGAAAGAACGAAATTTCATGCAATTTTTTAATCTTAAGTCTTATTAGAATTAATGGTCTTACATCTTGAAAAATCCATTAACAAATAAATAGTCTAAATATTTTTAAATACGAATTGTATATTATTACTAAGTATTTATTTCAGTTTAATAGAATACAAAAATTACTTTTACTCACAATGATAGAATTTTGACCAAAGTAATTTGTCACACGATAATCACTCAAGTATGGAACACAAGATCGATTTCAACACTTTGCGATCTACTAGCAACTCTTTATTCACGGTAAAAAGAACGTAACAAAACACCTGTTTTCACGTGAATGCACAAAAGTTCACTCGGAATTCGAAATTTGAACCACAGCGACACACCTCTACATTATTTTGTCCCTCCAATTAAATAGATGAAAAATGTTTGCTTGTAATTCGAAATATTTAAGAATAAATAAAGTTAATTGAACTTTTTATTACTTTGGAAGAAATTCGGCCAAGTTTATGAATAAAAAAATACACAATGCGTACTATACTTTTACCACGGCGCATCAAGTTACTCGTAGAAACAACGACCAACCGACCGCCGATCAGTAAATAAAACTGGTTTTTTTTTTCGAGGTTCCACAACCTAAACTGACATTTGTCTTTATGAAGTCTATGTCTATTGTCTATACTCATCTTTGAAGTTTTTTAAATTAATATTTTGGCGTGGATGATTGTCTTTTAAGGAAGGTCTTCATTTCATTTGGGATTAAACGTAGTGATTATATTCTCTTTGTTTGGGTTCTTCGTTTTTATATCTTTATTCTACGTCGTAGAGCCATGCTGCAGCTATATTATGGTTGTAGCACGAATGAGTCGGCTCGACCGGGGAAGGACCACGCTCTCACAGAAAACCAGCGTAAAATAGCAGCTTAACGCTGCTGTGTTTCGTTTCGCTCGCACAATTTTTCAAAAAAAAAATGACGTACTGTACTGTGAAAGGGTGTCACAACTCATCACATAATCACGAAAAAAATGTAAAAATCTCATTTCACGCTTAAGTACTGCCTAGTATCTTATATTTTTGTAAAAAAAATTCATTACAACAAAATAATAAATAATAAATTTGACAGACGCCAATATAATGAAAATGATGCTAGGCATAGTAAAATATATTACCCCATTTTTTCTTATTATTATAATTATTATAAAAAAATGCATATTGAAAAAAATACATACATACTGCCAATGGTCTCATTAATAAATATCAAACATAATTAGATATTTATTTGCCAAATATTTTTTTTTATATTGCCATTTGCCTCAAAAAAAATTTGTTGATTTTATTTTGTTTTGATAATGTGCAGTTGTTTTTACCTTTTTATGGTATGTGTTTTAGGATAAATAACATAGCCTATGATTGTTTTTTTAATTCTAATTTACATATATTTAACATTTTTAGTTCGATTCTTTTATGAATCTAAAAAAGATAGAAACATTTCGAGGATAGTGTCATCAAAGTGGCAATTGTTTAGAAAACAGTTGCAGTTTCAGGGTCATTAAGAGATATTTTTTAAGTACTAATAATTTCATGTTTTATTTGAATAGTTTATCTCCTTCCGAATCTTATTTTGGTTTAATGCAAAACATAATATCCAATAAAGTAATAATAATTATCACTTGAAACTGACCGTACTCTTAAGTCTCGTGATTTCTTCTAATATTATATCCATTCTGTGAAAGTTGTAATTTATAACCTTTACGTTGAAACCGATTTAAATTAAATATATCACGTAGATTCTTAGAATGGCAAGAATCGAGATCAGTGTATGCTTTAATATGCGAGAGAAGCCGCGGGCCACAGCCACAGTTAGTAAAGAATAACTAATGAAAAAATATCTCACAGCTAAAATGATTATCTGACAACTATTCACTTGTTAAGTGTAAGTGGGACTGGATTGGAAAAACTAGAAGAAATAGACGTAGGCATTTGCCTCCTCCATTTCTTCCACTTTTTTTTATAAGATAGGGTGACAAACGAGCACACAGTCCACCTGGTGGTAAGTGGATACTGTGACCCATAGACATCTACATCTATCCTCAATAAAGACTCAAGATGCAGATGCGTTGTCACCCGTATAAAAGTAAACTAAGTTACTTCTTATAACAACAGCTATCTGCCAGTGAAAGTCCTATCCAAATCGGTTCACAGATGTAGAGTTTTATTATAGTATAGATAGAAGATAGATAATCTAGGCTCACGTCTTTGCCATGCGTAAGCATCTTATCATATTTAGCGTTGAGCGATGTTCTGCACCACCCAGCGTTCAAAACCGTAAGATAATTATCGTACACATACGATAATTTCGTGTATGCGTCGATAGCACATTATCATCGTACGCAGATTGTACGATAATTTCCATCATAATGCAAAATTTGAGTATAATATATTTTATTTTACTTATACACTGAGTGCCGAAGGGCGGATTTGACCAAATAACATGTCACTCCTGAGTAACTAACCCTCAAATAATTTTACTTTTTGGTCTTACTCTCAGATAATTTCGTTTGCGTTTTTCCAACATAATCGTAGAGTAGCTAATACTGGGTATTGTTGCTCTAGAGTTGGTGAATGAATAATGAATGAACACGTCAGTCAACTAAAGTCGAAATACAATTGTTTATATAGCGCTATCTAATTTTTTCTGTTCACATAAAGTATGCCAGATTATAATAATATTGTCAACTCTCACTGAACCTTAAAATATTAACATGAATTGTCAGTTCATTACTCGTATTATTGTTGTACTACAGAACGGTTCAAGATTTGTATGGTGACACTTATTTTATATTCCCGACGTTTCGGGTGCTTTCCAGCACCCGTGGTCACGGGCACAGAATACTTTACTCCTAGCGGTCACGGGGGACTGAGGTGTTTGACGTCCTGCTGTCATAGTTAGCCCGGCTACCTTCAGTTTTTTAATATTAATTTTTGGTTCGATTTACGCAGAATGACCTTACAGTATCTTGAAGTCTAGCAGTGGTATACTTGGGTTTGGATTTGATTTTATTAATTATGGGATCCCAAGCAGATGGCAGCACCCATCCATCTTCTCTATTGAAATTAGGATGTTTTTTAATTTCAATAGCCTCGCGATCATCCTTGGGAGGAATCGGTGTTCTTTTGCGAGGATTTGTGGTCTATCAAATCTAATTTAATGGCAGGGACGATCTTGAACATGTTCACAAACTGCAGACTTCCCGATACGTCATTGCTTCACGTCAGCTATATGTTCTTTAACGCCGGTTTTTATAGATCTTTTTGTTTGTCCTATGTACGAGAGACTGCATTCACAATCCAGCTTGTACACTCCTGCATCTTGTAGAGGGATATAACACTTGACGGATGGTAAAAATTGACCAATCTTCTTCAGCGGCTTGAAGTATGTTTTAATGGAAGTTCGCTTCAAGATGTAGCCAACCTTGTCTGTGACTCCTCTGACATAGGGTAGTACAGCAGGCACACGCTCGACTGTGGCTGGCTTCACTCGGTCACTGTGACGTAGGCGTGGGCCCGAAGCTTGTTGTCTTGCAGTACTTGCTCGACGTGCTGAAGCTCGGTGGCCAGATGTTTTCTGTCACAGATCCCTCGTGCTCTCTGAAACAAAGATTTTCCCACGGTAGCTAACTGTGAAGGATGATGGTGCGATTCACCATTTAAATATCGGTTGGTATGGATATTTTTTCTCCACACAGTATGACCAATAGTGTTATAAGGATTTCGGATGACTAAAACATCTAGGAAAGCTAAAGTATTGTTTGCTTCTAACTCCATTGTAAATTGTATTTTAGGGTTTATGGAATTTAAAAATGCAGTTACTTTGTCAGATGGTAAAATTGTGAAAGTATCGTCTACGTACCGCTTGTAGAATCTTCGATTTACAGGAGCAGTAAGAAGAGCTTTCTCCTCAAAGTCCTCCATGAATTAGTCGGCGACTACGGAAGATACAGATGAGCCCATTGTCA